GTAGGCATAAACAAACTCTATAAGAAAAGCCTGTTCAGGGGCAAGGAAGATACCATCATCAGGAGGAGATCCAGGAAGCAACTCAGGAATCCTGAAGCCAAGTCCGATAGTTTTAGGACTGGGCTTCATGAGACATGAAGGCAAAAGTAACCTCAATCCAGCAGTTCCCAGCTCTGACCTTAAAGCCATTCTGCCCATGTCTCAGTGAAATAGGAAGGGATAATTCAGTATCCTATAAAGCTGGTTAAGCAGGGCAAAACTCTTATCTAGTCAACTTGAGCAAGGTGAAGTTTCATCTCAGATTTGCCTTGAATTATCCTGGCAAGGATCACACCTCTTATGTAATGTGCAGAGCCTCCATCAAAAGAAACAGAAGAGAAGCCAGCCAAACTAAGGAAACTCCTGCTGACTTGGCAATAGCATTCCTCTCACTCAGACTGGGAGGTGACCTGGAATTCCAGCTCTGCATTAATGTGATCTCAAATGAAAATTATTTGTACAAGAGGATGCTCTTCAGTGTTTGTTGTGCTTATATCCAAGGTACAGGTATTAACAGCTGACAGAGACCACAGTAGGAAGACCCACTTGGCACCACACATTATTTTTGCTTGGCAGCTGAAAGCTAATCATAGAAAAGCCTCACAGTCTGTCCACACCTACACAGCCTAAAAGCCATGAAAGCACTGGAGTCCATCGAGCCTGGATATTCTATCTGGACATTCAGCCACTGCTTTGTGATTTCAGGCCATTAGCTTCACTTCTCTGCTCCTGGAAAATGGACAACAGGCCAAAAGTAAGGAAAACAGCAGAGAAACCATCCGCCAAGATAAGCATGGCCAGTGTGAATCTGGGGACGGAGGTGACAGCACTGGGGAGCAGACCCAAATTGCAGCAGTTGCTTTGGACTGGAAGCAGGTCACAAACAGTGAGTTCACAGGAAATGTCTGCCACCAGCTCTGCCAAGCCCCCCCAGAATAAAGCTTGGGCAACCTTCCAGCATCACACAAAGCTGCTGCAGCAAAAGCAAAGCGAATCTCAAGTGCAGCCTTTCCACTGTCCTTATCATGAGATTGTCCCATCTCTTCCTGAGGAGTCTCTAACCTCTAGCTCAGACACTAATTGCCACCGAAACCTTTAGGTTAATGCAGTGGGAGACCATTTAGAGTCACAGAATGGGTTGGAAGGAACCTTAAAGCCCACCTAGTTCTAAATCCCCTGCTGTGGGCAGGACTACCAGCCACCAGATCAGGCTGCCCAGGACCCCATCACCCCTGGCCTTGAGCATCTCCAGGAATAGGGCATACACTGCTTATCTGGGCAGCCTGTTCAGCGCTTCACCATCCTCACTGTGAATTTCTTCTAATATAAATATATATAAATATATAGATATATAAAAATAAATATATAAATATAAATATAAAAACTCTTTTAGTTTGAAGTCAGCTCCCCTTGTTCTGTCACTACACTCCCTGATAAAGTCTCTCCCCATCCTTCTTGTAGGTCCCTTTTTATGGAAGGCCACAAAGAGGTCTCCCCAGAGCTTTCTACTCTGCAGGCTAAAACAAACCCAGCTCCTTCAACCTGTCTTCATAGGAGACCACAGGGTTGTCCAAAAAATCCTGCTGAGTCTCCAGAGGAGTTCACCCTGGCCAAGAAATTAAGAAATGTCAGATACAAATAGAGCACTTGAGATGTATGGTTGCATAGAGCTTATAAGGCAGATGGAAAGATTCTGCCCTGACTTTAATCAACTGCAGTAATTTTAAATAAAATAATCCTATAGGTATTCTTACACCTCACTTACTTCATTAATAACAAACCTCAATTAACAAAATTCTTGCCTAAATAATTTAAACAGCACTAAGCCCTTAAAAAAATTGATTTGTAAAACAATTAGGGAGCAATAATGTTAAGCACCTCAGAGGATGACCAGTCATTATCCCCTAGTAAATTACAGGCCTTAAACATTTGTGATTCTAATGGCAGTCTCACTCCTATTCTGATGATTGTGTAGTGGGCAACTGGGGATCAAGCAGTTTACCATCTTATTGACAGACTGCTATTCAGCAATGGTCAGAGATGAGATGTTTCCACAGCAGAGTTAGATGGTCTTCAGCCAGTAGCATCTTGAAACTTAAAGGATGTTAATAGCAGTATCTTGTTATGAGGCTGCGCTTCGCATGCCCAGAACGGGCAGAAGGCTGCCCTTTGAAGGCTCCACAGAAAGCTATATTCAGCAGAGGAAAGGATTTGGACCAAGGGCTCTTAATAAATAACCTCATCTGTATCTTCAGGCTTTTCAGGACCTGTCCCTCCATCTGAGATCCTAGACAACTGCTACGCAGACACCCACGGTACTGATGGCAGCGGGACCCGGCACGCAAACATCACACGAAGATTACTCACAAAATCTTGCACACAAATTCAGGGCTGAGAGCATGCTTGAAACAGATTCATGCCTAAGCCAAAGGCTGAATCCTGTTCATTTTGTTACTCTCACAGCCTGTCCTTATTCACAACCGTACATACTGCAAGTGAAGGATTGAGACTGAGAAATCCATGGCTGTTTACACAGGTGCTTATATTTGGAAAACAATTCTGCTAGCCTATATTCAAACACAAAACTTGCAAAACCTGGTTTAAATTATTATGCAAGCACCAGGACAGCATGGATACCCGCATGAGAATGTCAGACCTTCACATAAGGCTTCTGCTTTTAACAGGCAGAAGGAAGGAGACACGGTGCAAATGAAGGAGCTGCTGCTACTCAGCTGCCAGGCTTCAACCCAGGTTACCACAGAAGCTTTCTCTGACCTTGCTGAGCTGCTACCGAAGCTCTCTTTCTCCAGATACAGACTACAAAGGGAACTAATACAAGTTGCAGCTTGATAAATCCCTTAACGGATAACCTTGTAGTTTGCTTAGATAATGGGAAGGGTCTGTGTCTTTGTATTGCATAGATAAGCGAGGTTCCATGAGACTTTGTACTGAATATGTATGTACCTCTCAGAAGACCTCTGAATATATATACGCTGAAGACCTTTTTTGTGCAAGACATACACAATTGGAGGAGCATTCCCCCCATGCATCCAGCACTGATAATGAAGAATGCCTGCTCTCTAACACTCCAACCCAGGTCTTAGAGAGTTTCAGCTGCTTTGCAGTAACAGAGCAGCACTGCCCAGTTTTGAAAAACATGTTAATATAAAGTTAGCTGCTCGGGGACCACAAGCTACTTCAATAGGAGCCAAGTAAGAGAAATACAGAACAGTCAGCTCTTTTCTTGGCAGCAATAACCTGGATATTTGAACACCTGTATTGTATTATTATACAATATCGTAACAAAGAAATACATGCAAACACTGTATTCTACAAAACAGTAATGTGAGAATTTGCAATTCCTCAAAGATTTTTAGCAGATTTGTTCTTCACAACTGTTTCAGAACCAGAACATGCGCAGGAAGACTGGAGAGAAGAGCAATCGACCCAGTATTAGGCTATTATAGCAGGCAGTACTGATTCGAGGTCCACACACAGGCTATATGGAGCTGTTAAAACAAAAGCTCATATTCACAGACAGTTTCCAGCAGAAACTGAAATGTGAACCTCTTAAAAAAAAGGAATGGTAGCACAGAGATTGACATTGCTTCCTTTAGTTGCTTCACAATATAGACCAGTTTACCTCATATGGACTTTGATTTCATAACTTTCTACCAATTCGCAGAGAAGCAGATCTATGTCAGTAAAAGTACAGAGTTCTATGTCACCATTATTTGACGACTTTTGTTTATTCAGTATATGTATCTCCAGGGAAAAGTTCCTTTAAAAATAAAACGTATTTCTTAAATCAAAATGATTTAGGGTTCCTTTTGTTTAGCAGTGCAGTAACTGATCAAGGGGCAGAGACAAGAAATAGCAGATCATTTTACCGCAAGATACAATCTTCCATAAGCATGTTTGAGAAAGCCACTTAAAAGCTTAAGCACTGGAAAAACATACAGGGAAGTGGAATGGTTGAGGATCCATATTGAGTTTGCTTCTAAACTATGTGGCTGAAACAGTCTTAAAATTGTTTTTTTTTTTTAACTGAAGTTGCAGCAGTAGTTTCAGACTTCAAAGCAACACTTGGTTTACAAACAAGAAAAATAATGCATCCGGCTCTTTCCTACATCAACTAACAGGGATATTAAAAAAAATAATAATCTGTCCCAAAAATGTGTGTCTGTGGCGTAATGAGATTTAGTTGAATTAAAGCCTGAGAAAACTAATGCAGTTGCCCTCCCAACTTGTATCCAATGCTTTAGGACGAGGAGCTGTTAGCTCTGTATTAGAGGGAGGGCTTCTCTCAGGCCTACCCAACGAGATGGCATTACCACAAACCCACTGTCACCTCTCACTGCTTTTCTTTCCTGCTCCTAGACTCAAGGGTGTGCTTCTGGAAACCCGCAAAGTTGGTTGTACCAGCGGACGAGATGCTAAGTGATCACACACCGGCCCCAGTTCACAATTAACAAACAAAAGCCGAGTCGCATTCACAACCAACAGCAGGACAAAAAAAAAAAAAAAAAAAGAAGAAAAAAAAAAGTCATTCCGGCTGCTGCTGAAGAAAGGGAGCCTTCCTGAGGCAGCCTGATCACCGCCCATATGCTCTCCTTAGAGGACAGAGAGAAAATCCAGCTTCCCCCCGGAAAAGGAGATCTGCGATCTGTCCGCACTCTCTCTCACACACACACCTATCGGAGAGCACACACGCACCCCCCCACAGCACACCCTTCAAGTCGGGCTCACCCCAGAGCCGGAGCCCGCCTCCCGCAGCCCCCATCCGCGCAGCCGGCACGGCAAGGACGAGCCACCCCGAAAAGTTTTGCCGTCGGCGGGTCCCGGCCCGGCCCTCGCCCCGCGGGCTCCGACAACAAAGGGACGGGGATGGAGACGCGAGCGCGGGGCTGCGCGCACCGCCGGCCCCCCGTCCCCGTCCCCGCGTGCCCTTGGGCCGCTACCTGAAGACAGCGACCGCAGTGTGGTTTCTTCTCCACGCCTTGCCCTGCTGCAGCAGCACCCCCTGAACGATCTCCTTCTCGTCGGGCAGCCGGTACACGGGGAAGATGTAGAGCCAGCAAAGGACGAAGACGCCGAGGGCGCTGGCCCCCACGGGCAGCCGGGTGCGCGGCCACTTCCAAGCCAGCCCCGCCATCCTCCTCCCGCAGCGCTGCCGCGGCGCCGGGCTGCGCTCCCGCATCAGGCCCGCACCGCGCGGGGC